TCTGCACTGCCACAACCTCTGCTACCTTCTCTCCCAGGAGCAGGAGGACAGGCCTGGTGGCTCCTCTTACACCCAGGTACAAGCCCCACCTTAACCCAGACTGCTCACCCTGAGGCCATTTGTGCCATACAAAAACGGTGAGTGCTGCCCCAGGGCACTGCAGCGCTCAGGATTGCTCAGTTTTGCACCATCTAGATTCAATTTTTTTTTTTTTTAGCAGCAGCAGCAGCAGGCAGGCCCTGCCATGGTAACAGGCTTTCCTGGAAAGTCTGATTGCTGCATCTTCCCAGCAGTGAGGGAGCAGCAGGTCGCAGGCAGCCTGACCCCTTCCAGAGCCCCTGGGAGCGAGTGCCAGCTCAGCTGTGGAGAGGGATGCAGCAGAAGCAATACAAGAAAAACAATTGTGCATTGCCAGGTCACTGCTGTCACTCTGAGTGTCCCTGAGGACTCCCCAGACAGGTCACCTGGAATTCAGGTCTGGCTCATGGGGCTTTTTTCATCCCACAATTTTGGGGACAAAACCAAGCTGAGAGCAGCTGGCTGCAAACCCAGAACCAGCCTGGGGGCCAGGCTCGGGCCAGGAGAGCCACATCGGGCTAGTGGGGTCTGGGACCAAGGACCCCCAACCAAAGCTCTCCCTGACTCTCTCTCCATGGTGTTTGTCCCTCTCCACTCACATTTTAACAGCAACAAATTGCTGGTAATGAGCCGTGTCTCTCTGTGAGCTGAGATCAAAGATGCTCTTACACAAAACCAAAATATCATCAGTGGCCTTTAAAGGCCAGACTAAGCTTCTGAGGGAAAAAAATTCAATTTTCTGTAGATCTAATTTGAAACCATCTTAATGCTCATTAAGATAGAGGGACCCAAGCAGATGGTGTGGGCTGGAAGACAGGGAGAGAAAAAAAAGGAGTTATTATTGACATTTTAGTTTAGGTCTTTATTCTATGCAGAGCTCCCCACTGCTGGGCAGCAGCTTTGAGTAATGCTATTGTTAGCACTGGAACTGTAATTCCAATGTCCTTTTTATAACTGGCTTGGAAAAAAAATAAATCCTGAAGGCTTTGTCTACATTCAAAGTAATGGAGTTTATAGTGGTAAAAAGAGACTTGAAAAGGGAGAAATGTGCAAACCCTTGTGCTGTTGCTCGCTGGCATGGGATGGCCACGGCGTTTACCCACCCTGGGCAGCCTCTGCAGCACCTTCCTGGGGTGCTTGGTGAAGGAAGGGGATGCCTGGATGAGGAGATGAGGATGTGTCCCAGCTTGGTCACCCCCTGGAGCCACATCTCGGAGTCTCTTATCCATGTGCTGGGTCACAGCCCTGGGGCCAGCTCAGCCTGAGGGGTAACGTGTCCCCCAGCAGCACCCAGCTCTGTTCCTCCAGCCCAGGGCTGGGATGGGGAATGGATACACAGATTAAACAAAAGCCACACAAGGTTTTTATTTGCCGCTATCTGTGAGGGCTTGTGTGGGAATAGAAGATTTATATCTGCCCCACTGGTGAGGGTGGTCCTGGGGGCAGGTGGGCATGGTCAGAGCCTAAACCAAAGGAGCTTGATGTTTTGGTTTGATGTGGTGCTTTTCTCCCTAAAAGTATTGCTGACAGTTCTGATCCATGCAGGCAAAGGTTCTGTTGCAATCTCCTCCCATCTAACTTGAATTTTGCTTTACAGAAACATGAAATGATTTGGAGTGCATTAAGCAGATTTATTTTCCTTCACCTCCTAGTATTTCACTGTACTTTTGTAAGGGTGCAAGAAAGGCAAATCAAATCTGGGAGCAGATTGACTGTTAGTTATAGTCACTTCTCTTGGCATTATGGCAGCTGCTGGATTTCTGGCTATCAAATACCTTTATTAGAGTAAAAATATGTGAGGCAGGGATCCATGGTTTAGACAGCGCCTTTTACAGCCATCTGAAAGGAGTGGGGAGCAACGCAGGGGTCAGTCTCTTCTCCCAGATAACAAGAATGTCAGGAAACAGCACCAAGTCACGCCAGGGGAGGTTTAGGTTGGATATTCGGGAAAATTCCCTCACCAAAAGGATTGTCCAGCCCTGCCCAAGACAGCGGCGGAGTCACAGTCCCGGAGGGTTTTAAAATCCGTGTGGATGTGGGGACATGGGGAGCTGGGACATGGGTTAGTGGTGGCCTTGGCGGGGCCCGATGATCCAAGAGGATTTTCCCAGCACAAACTGGGCGCTGCTCCCTGCCATCCCTGTCCGCGCCTGCAGAGGGCACCAGCCCCCCAAATGTCCCTGTCACCCCCGGGCCCGCCGGTGACACCGCCGGGACACGCGGGATGCTCCTGGGAATGCTCCGGGTGACACCGCCGGGACACGCGGGATGCTCCTGGGAGTGCTCCGGGTGACACCGCCGGGACACGCGGGATGCTCCTGGGAATGCTCCGGGTGACACCGCCGGGACACGCGGGATGCTCCTGGGAGTGCTCCGGGTGACACCGCCGGGACACGCGGGATGCTCCTGGGAATGCTCCGGGTGACATCGTGGGATGCTCCACTGGGAATGCTCTGGGTGTCACCGACCCAGCCACCTCAGGCTGCTCCTGGGGAATGCTTTGGATAACACTGACCCATCCACCCAGGGATCCTCCTTTGGGAATGCTCTGGATGACACCGACCCATCCACCCACGATGCTCCTGGGAATGCTGTGGGTATCACTGCCAGGACATGCAGGATGTTCCTGGGAATGCTCTGGGTGACACCGACCCAGCCACCCAGGGATCCTCCTCTGGGAATGCTCTGGGTAACAGCGACCCAGCCACCCAGGGATCCTCCTCTGGGAACGCTCTGGATAACAGTGACCCATCCACCCAGGACATTCCTGGATAACAGTGACCCAGCCTCAGCAGCCCCATTCCAGGTTGGATCCCAGCTGGGACCCCAGCACCGTTTCCACTCATCACAGTCCAGCACAAAGCACCAGGTGATGTTGGCTGCATCTCCTCCCAGCATTGTCCAACTCTTGGATAGGGATGGGGACACCATAACCCCTGCCACAGCCTCAGATCTCAGCCTGATGGCTGACTCCATCCCCAGCACCTCGCTGAACCCAAAAATCCACCTCCAACATATGCAAACACAGCAAAACTACTGGAAAAGCTCTTGTGGGAATGTGTCGTTGTCCTTGTTTCCCCTGTGCTGTGGCTCTGTGGGTGGGAGTCACTTCTACTTTAGGAAAAAACCAAAACCCTGACATGTGTTTTCTGGCCCAGTTTAACCTCAAAAAGTACCAGTGAAAAGATCTGTGTTTTGGCAGAGGACAGCATGAATGCCTCCAAGCACACAGTGGCTCCTGGCACGGGGGGACAGGACTGATCCCAGCTCAGAGGAAAGCCCCAGAAGTGGCTTTGGGAGAGCTCCCTGGAGCCTCACTACCCCATCCTGGAGAGGATGGTGCTTGGCTAAAGGGGAACCACAGGGTGAGACCCAGAGTTTGGATGTTCCATGATGCTGTGTCCAGCTGCAGATGTTTCCATGTTGGGAATGTGAACTCGCATGATTCCCAAATTTGACAGTGTCTGTACAGCACAGTGTGATGAAAGCTGAAGTACTTCAGCCACTGCTACAGCCAGGGAAACAAACAGGAGTCACCCCACTCCAGATTTAGCTCTTTATTGATTTTCCAGCTGCAGCCATCAGTCATTGTCCCAGTGCTCAAATTACCCATTAGAGACATTTCATAGAAATGAGAGGAAAACAAGACAGGCTTGTGGCTTTGATGAAAAACGCTAAACATCCTAAACAGCAACTTCTGGAAGGAAAATCTTTCCTTTTTAGGGTGGGGACTGGGTTATATTTATTCTTGAACAGCTCAGAGGCACTGGCTACTTGTGGTCTGGGGCTTCTCCCAGTTCCCATGGCCCTTATTCCCTGGGTCAAAGGCAGCACTGTGCCCTGCAGGAGGGACTCAGAGGCTTCCTTCCAGTCCAGCTTATCACCTGTGTCAGATTCAAGGATAAACATAAAACCAGTTTGAAAATCCACATGACTGCACTGGGGTGGACACGATGTCCTCTGCTTCCTCTCACCTACAGTGACTCTCTGTTGGTGACTGCAGCTGGGTCACATCCTGCAGGTCAGGCCCAGAGCCCTGCCCTGTCTGAGATGCCCCTGGGGTTACAGGGATGGCCCCCGCGCTTGTGTCCATCACCCCACAGCTGCATTGTGGAGGGACCCAAGGGTCTGGGGACTGGAGCTGCTGCTAACATCCCATCTACATGGAAATGCCCTTCCTCAGGGTTTTACTACAAGAATTTGATAGGGTGGGGGTGAATGGCTTCAAACGGAAGGAGAGTGGGTTTAGATAAGTATTAGGAAGAAATCCTTCCCTGTGAGGGTGGGGAGGCCCTGGAACAAGGTGCCCAGAGCAGCTGTGGCTGTCCCTGGATCCCTGGCAGCGCCCAAGGCCAGGTGGGACAGGGCCTGGAGCAGCCTGGGATAGTGGAAGGTGTCCCTGCCCAGGGCAGGCGGTGGAACTGGAGAGGCTTTTAGGTCCCTTACAAACCTTTCTGTGATTCTATAAATAAATCTATGTCTTCCACCTTGTGAAGAGACTCCAACCCAAGGAGCTGCACTGTGACCCTGTGGTTCACCAAGGCAGCAGGGGGGATATCCCCAGGGTCCCCTCCAGCACCCAAAGGTGTCCCCAGAGGGGAGGGCTGTGCTGACTGTGCCCAGGACCGGGCTGGCTGTGCTGACTCAGCAGCACACACCCTGTGTAAATGCCCACCAGCTGCTGCCCCAGCCACTGTTTGCTCAGCCCACACTGCTCTGTTTGCCTTTGGGATCACGATGGAAGGAAATGGCCTCTGATCCAGAAAATGAGGCAAGGCAGCTCCAGGCACCTGCCTCAAGGATCTTCCAGGCATCTCTGCTCCTCCAGCTCCTGCCCAGGCTGCTCAGTAGCTGCAACCCACCAGCACCACCCAAATTAAAACCTCCACAGAGCTCTAGGAGCTACAGAAATACGCACTTATCACAGCATAACCCAGCTGCCATGCAGCCAGGAAAATTATTTATTATAATTTCCTTGCAACAGAGATATGGGAAAAAAGGCACCCACCCTCCACAGGTGCAAACAGCAGCAGCTGCAGCATCCACGTTGGGATCTATGTACATCACAGTGCAAAGTCCATTGGGGAAAAAAAAACTCAATCCAAGTTTTTTTTTTTAAAAAAAAACAAAAAAAAACCAAAAAACCTCACGACCTAAAACCAGGAACCAGAAAAAAAACAGTGGTTGAGAAAATAGGTTGGGCCCCTCCCTCTTGCTATAAAATACATTATTTCTAAGGCGACGTTTCACAAGACCAGAAGCGAGGTTCCTAAAGAGTCTGAGCTCGCAGCCGAGGACACGGCACAGGCACAAATCCCACGTGAGAAGCTACTGCAGGCACGAGAACCTCCACCCACCCCGCGGCCTCAGTGCTCAGCGTAGTCCTTGGTCTCCACGCCGGTCTCGTTGAGCACCGTTGTCCTCATGATGGCCTCGGTGACAGCGTAGGGGTCGCAGTTGGCCGCGGGCCGCCGGTCCTCGAAGTAGCCGTAGCCATCCTGGCCCACCTGGCGCGGGATGCGGATGCTGGCGCCTCGGTTGGCCACGCCGGCCGAGAACTCGAAGATGTTGGAGGTCTCGTGGTGGCCGGTGAGGCGCCGGGAGTTGTCCCTGCCACCCCGAGGGTCGTACACGCAGATGTGGTAATCGTGCCGCTTGCTCAGCTTCTCGATGGCAGCCTCGATGTGCCTGTGGGAGAGGAGAGCACAGGGGGTTCAGCAGGTCCGTTTGGGGGGTGTCACCCCCTCCTCCTGTGCAGGGGGTGACGACAGCCCAGGGGACACCCTCATATGATCAGCTGCTCTTAAAATAATGAGCTGGGACAGCCACAACCCTGCCTGGTGCAGCCACACATGCAGGGACACGCATCCATATGGCTCAGGACACCCCCAACCTCCCAGGTACATCCCAGGGAGCCCCCAAAGACTCACTGGAGTCCCTTGAGACCCCCCCAGACTCACTTGAGACCCCCCTCTCTCCGCATCTCCTCGGTGCTGTAGTTGGTGTGACACCCGGCACCGTTCCAGTTGCCGGTCATCGGTTTGGGGTCCAGAGTGGCCACAACCCCGAAGTCCTCGCAGACACGGTGGAGGATGAACCGAGCCATCCAGAGGTGATCTCCCATCTCAATGCCCTCACATGGGCCCACCTGGAATTCCCACTGGAAGGGGGCAAGCAGATGCACAGGTAAGGATGGGACAGGTGGGTGCCTCCCCAGCCACCACATCCCTGCCACTCCCAGCCTGGGCTGTGGGTGAATGCTACCTGCTACCCCTGGGATCAGCAACAAGGATGGGGAGCTTTGAGTCAAGCAACAGGACAACTTTAGCATGCAAAAAAAAAATCACCAAGAAAACGGGAATAAACTGCTCATCACTATGTAGAGCAAATCAGAGGGGTTTTAAATCAAAACAAAGCTAAATAAACACCACGTCTGACTGAGGCTGGAGCTGCTGTGAGCAGGACCCCCCCAGCCCACACTGCAAACAGGGCACAGGATTACCACGGAGCCTGTTAGTCCTTCCCAGGGCTGCTCCCTGCCCGGCTGGAGCCAGGGTTGCACCACCCACGGTGACTAAGAGCAGGGTGACGTCTTTATGGCTGCTGGCACCGGAGAGCCTGAGCCCAGGATGCCGAAGGCAGCCAAGAAGGACCCTTAAGAATTTGGGGCAAACAGCGGGATGGTAAAAGTCCTGCCTCGGCTCCACTGCTGATAAGCCCCTGCTTATCACTGCCACATCAGCAGCAGGAGAGTCAGCAACCCGCAGTCGGTCAGTCTGATCACCTGCCTAATGCAATCAGGGGCTTCTGCTGCTCTCCCAGATAAACCCAAATCCTCCCAACTGCTTCCCAAGGCCATGTCCCACCCGAGCTTCCCGGTTCCAGGCTCAGACCCTGTCACTCCACATGGTGTTCCTGCAGCCTGTCCCAGCTCCTGCTGTCCCCCACATCCCACTCCTACTGTCCCCCACATCCCAGCTCCTGCAGGGCAGCTCCCAGCTCTGCTCCAGCTGAGCTGTGCAAGGAGCTCGGGCTGAGTTAGGAGAAAATCAAATGCACATTTCCATTCTAGCAATGCAATGCTCCCACCTAAGCAAAACTGATGTGAGGATTTGGCGTTCCAGAGGAGCTGAGAGTTGCTGGGTTATTCCAGCCTCACATAACTCATATCCATCACTAGGAACGGGCTGCCTGAGGCCATCCACACCTACCTGGGAGGGCATCACCTCGGCATTGGTGCCACAGATCTTCACCCCCGCATAGAGACAAGCCTTGTAGTGAGACTCCACGATGTCACGCCCGTACACCTTATCTGCTCCAACCCCGCAGTAATAGGGGCCTGGAAAGAACAAGGAGTCATCACTCGAGGAAAATTTCGGGGAGCAACAACAGCATTGTAGCATAATCCCACACTCCCAGATACCTGCTGCCATGGGCAAAGGATTTGTGGGAATTAAAATGATGTTTCTCTCCACAGGACATCAAGCCACCGACCCCAGCTCCAGGACTAGCAGTGTGAGTGGCTCATCTCCAAAACCTCAGCCTTATCTGGGCAGTTAAATAATGCTTGTAACACATCAATTGGGAGGTGGCCTCGAGATAAGGAAAGTTTGGTCTGCCCGGGGGCATCTCCCTCACCCTCTGAGCACATCAAGCGTCCGAGATTGTTGTGACAACAGCTGGCATTGTTCACTGCTAGAAAATTCAATCCACTAGGGTTTGATATCTTCCTCATTCAAGCAGGTCAGGCAAAGATCTCCCCGCCTGGGGGAAGGGAGGTGTTGCAAGCAGCTGGTCCATACAAGAATCCCAAGGTTGGGAAACCTCTGGCTCTCTCCCAGTAGAGAGCTAAGGAGCTGCCTCGCTGCTGCAGGAGGGCACAACACGCCATGCCAAGCCCTTTCCCCAACAGCCAAGGGGAGGAGGTTTTTCCAGCCCGGTTCTCCAGCCCTTGCCAAACAAGTCGTGCAGCTGAGTTGTTTGTGCAAGCAGGGTCCGGCGGGAGCGGCTCACGTGAGCCAGGGCCACCAGGTGCTCCGGGAAAAAACAGCCCCTACCTGGGCTCATCCCGTGGCAAAGCTGCACCGAGGCTGGGGATGGGCGAACTGCCACCACCCAGCACCCCACAAGCAGCAGGGTGGGAGCTCAGGGGACAGTCTGAGCTGGGGCAGGGAGAGCTCTTACCCTGCGGGCCAGGAAAGCCGTTGTCAGGCCAGCCATAGGGGTGGCCATTGATGCCCAGCAGTGTGTACTCCTGCTCCATCCCGAACCAGGGGTGGCTGTCCTTCACCAGGTCCATGACTTTCTTGCACGTGTGTCTCAGGTTGGTCTCTGGGAGCAGAGAGGTCCGGGTTAGAGCCGTGCTGTGAGCCAGCACCCACCACACTCTGCTCCATCCCACCCCAAGACTGATGCTCTACCACTGCCAAGTGCTTCCCACAAAAACCTCAAGGAAATCATGAGTGAATCCCCTTCCTGCTCACCAAATTCCTCCTCGCAGTTACTCCATCACTGGAGCATCAGGCCACAGGTCAAGAGGGTTTAATCACCCTGCGCCCCAAACCACTGCTGATGGTCCATGAACATCCTCCTCCTCTTACTCACTGAGGAGCCTTACCCCAGCCCCATCCTACAGGCATTCAGCAGACCTGGGAACAGGCACTTCCATAACACCTTCACCCCCATCCTTTTTCTACCAGTCTCATCTTAATTATCCTTATCTTTCTCCAATTCCATGGTTTTGGTTAGCATCCAGACTGGCTGGCCCCGACTTGGCCTTTTGAGGTGCTCAAGGCAACTGGGGCTTTGCCAGGAAAACACAGATAGCAGAAAACTGTCCAGACATGGGACAACGTGCCAGGCAAGGGGAATGAGAGCTTGGACCAAGACATCAGCAAAAAAGGCTTAAAAACTGCTGTGACAGGGACAGGCAGGCTCCAGGCTGCACAGTCTGCCTTAACTTGCAATAAAATCCCAGAGCAGCTACGGTGGAGCATGGGGCTGGAAGGAAGCAGTGGCAGATGGGGAGCAAGGCTAAGACAGCTTCTTCCCCTGAGCCCACACAGATCTTAAGGTCCATGGAAAGCCAGCACGGGAGGGGCTGGAGGGTGCACCCCTCTCACCATCAGGGCTCTGGGCTGAGCTCTCTGCCCCAGCGGCCCGAGGATCAGGGGATCTCTTTACAAACTCCTCCAGTGGAGGAGCTGCCGGGCAGGAATCTCAACGAAGACACTTCCCCCACCCGTCTGGACGCTGCTGGAGGAGGAATCGGCCCGGTCTTTCACCATCCCTGCCCGCAGCCCCCGCTCTCCCGGCAGAGCTGCATCACCCGCAGACGCCTTCTCCCTCCCCCTCACACCCAGCGACGCACAGCCCTGCTCGAGTGGCAAATATCCGGTTATTTGTCGGCAAATAACCCCTCCGGGAGCCCCTCAGCGCGTCCCTGCAAACAGGCTCCTTTTCCTGTGTCTGGGACTTTATCAGAGGGACAAGACGGACTGCAGACTCCTGCGACTGCAGACTGGCTGATAACACCGAGCGCCGCGCGTTCTGGGGCTGTTTGCAAAAGGTCACTCTGAGCCAGCACACGCCGTCTCAGCATCTTCTCCTTCCTTTTCTGCAGCCTCCCACCAGCGGGAAGAGCAATCACAACCCCGGCACATTAAAACCCCCGCATTTCCAGCCCCTGCTCCCCTCGGGGCTGGGCGAGCTCGGGCTCAAGAGCCGGGAGACGCCTTTGGAGAATGCTGTCAATGAACTCCACGTCTCGCTGCTCTCCTCGCCCTGTGCCACTAAAACAGGTTCCTGCAAGCAACCACAGCCACCAGCGCTGGCATTTCGGAGCCTCGGGCCAAGTGCTCGGTGCTCAGCTGCGCCCCAGGGCCAGCGGTGCCGAGCAAACGGCCCCCGGGGGAGGCGACACCCTAAATAATAAGGGGGTGACCCTCGGGGGTGCTCACCTGCGGGTTTCCTGTTGTACTTCAGCACTTCGCAGAGCACTAACTTGTTGGGGTCCAGGCAAAAAGGATCCCTGAACATGCAGACCGGCACCAGGAACATGTCACTGTTGGAGCCCTCTGCCTGTGCCGTGCTGGAGCCATCGAAATTCCACTCGGGAACATCTGCGAGGCAGGAAGGGGACGGAGGTGGGAGTGAGGTTGGGAAAAGGTCCACATACGAATTGTGCCAAGTGTTGGTGGCTCAGATCCAGGATGGAGCACTCAAAGGGCGTCGAGTTCCATGGGATGTCAGCCACAAAGGTTTTCTTGCCCATCCCCGGAGCCCATCGGTGCTCCCTGAGCATCAGCGTGTTCATCCCCCAGCACCATCAGGCACGGGCAGGATCAGTCCCAGCCACTCCACTCCCTCTGCCAAGCCCTCACCCAGATGCCGACACGTCTCCGTGCCTGTTTGCCTGGTGGAAAGGGGCGAGGAACTCATCCTCCCCTTCCCACCCAGCACTAATAGCAGAGATTAGCGGATGAGGCAAACCGCAGGGACGCAGGTTGGATATTTACCCTGCTGCTTGGGGCAACCCCCCCAGACAGCTGCAACAGGTATCACTGGTGCCACGCAACCAGGAGAGCCCGTGCCAGCTCCCACTACCCGAAACACCCCAGAACTTTTCCCAGGTGATGCTCAGGGCCCTCCACCACACCACCCATCACCCGGAGGGACGAGCAGCCGCGTTACCTTCGATGCTCTTGGGCTCCTTATCGAGGGTCCTGCTCTTGCAGCGCACTCCCTCGCCGCTGCCGTCGATCCAGACGTAGGTGACCTGAACCCTGCCATCCTGGGGCAGCCTCATGTACTGCTCCCGCACCAGCTTGTTCAGCCTGGAGCTGTGCGACACCGACATGGCGACGGCCCCTGCGAGGGCGCACAGGTGAGTGCCACATCACCCCGGGCCCCTCTCCCCGCGGGGATTTTACAAACCAACCTCCCAGCCCACAGGAAGCCACCCCAGCTCCCCTCCCCGGCCGCCTCCCGCAGCAGGACTCGAACCCGCGGGCCCCGCGCTCACCGGCCCTGCCCCAGCGCTGCCCGCGCCCGCTCCGCCCGCGCTTTAAAGGCGCCCCCGGTCGGGGGGCGGCGCGGAGGCGGCTCCGCCCCGGGTCCCGGTCCCCACCTCCGGGACACCCACTGAGGACGTTTAGTATTGTTTTCTTTTCTTATTAAAATATTACTTATTAAAAACGACAGCTATCCTGCGGCTAAAGCAGCGCTTTATTTTTAAAGTAGTGAGTTATCGGCTTAATAACTTATTGTTTATTTTAAAAACCCCAGGTGTTACTCATTGAAAATTACATTTTCCACCTCCGGTCCCCTCTCTGCGGGCCCTTGTGGCCCCTTGTTTGTGTAGGGTTGTCCTCGTACACGTGTGCAGGTGTTCTTCTCCCAGCGCTGCTAAACCGCTGTCAGGAGGCTGCTGGCTTGTGCTCCCCCAGCACCCCAAAAGCCTGGCTGGGACCATGCCCTGTGGATGTGTTGGAATGGATCTGGGTGGTCCTGGCGACATCAGTGGCAACGAGATCCCTGGGGACAGGGGCAGGCAGATACCTGGCAGCCCTACCACTACCTCTGTCCCCCCATCCTGCCCTGGACACCCCAGGAATGATCCCTTCCCACACGCCTTCAGCCCCCCGTGGCTGCAGGGCTGGGTTTGCCGCCAAGGCTTTCCTTCGAAGGGAGGGAAGGCTGAGGGCGGCAGGGAGAGCCTCGGAAAACACCGCAATCTCCAACTTCAGCCCGTCCCATCTATAAACCGCTGAGTTAGAGCACAATTTTAAAGCACCAGAGCGTAGTAGAGTCTCTTTAAACCCCCAAACTATCCACGCTCAGTACATGCTCTGCTGCAATTACAGTCAGCTAAAAATCCTCAGCCAACAGGTGTGAATTTGAGTCGATTATTTCAATATAGCAGCAATTTCCAGCTATTGAACCGAACGCAGATCCAATTAGGTGAATTAAACGCCTCGCTGCCTTCCCGGGTTTTCCATAGATCTTGCGTGAGAGGCTCCCACGTGTCGGAGCAGACAGACCCCAGACGTGCCAGTGCACAACCAGCACGGGCACAGCCAGTGCCGCCGCCTCCGGGGCTTATCTCAAACTCCCGGATTTTCTTCTGCGAGGAGGGCAAGATTGCAAACAACCCCCGCCAGCAAACCCGGCGGGGTGAGCGCGCCTCGACTCTCCAGCCTCGGCTTTCAAGCAGTTTTTCGATGTTACAAAAGGAGAAAAGACTGAAAGGCATGACCGGGCTCTAAAAGCAGTTGGGTTTTTGCTAATTCCCCCGGTTCTTAAGGCAGACTCATGCTTGTGGCTGCCTGACTCACCCCAAGGAATGTTTTTCTGCAAAACACCAGGGCACCTAAAAAAAAACACTTTACGGTTGATTGCCCCCCACAGGACATCTCCTCCCCGGGCACTGACCCAAGACATCAGCTCTGTTTTTCTTCTGAAGGTGTTTTGGTCCCGCGGGCAGATAAAGAACCGGGAAGAAACCTGAAAGCACTTGGGATTGCACAAGAACCAGGAAATGAGATTGGCAGCGAGAGAAGCAAACCTCAATTAGCAATTTTGGTGACCGGGCGGTGACATCAGTGCCAGCGGGCTGCGGGCGGGCCAGACGTCACCCACCCCACAACTCGTGGGTGCTACCCCGAGCAGAGCTCCTGGGAAGGACCTTGGCACACGGGGATGTGCCCAAGGTCCCTGGAGCGGAGGTGGCAGAGCCACACGGGTCTCCCCCGTGTCCTTGGCGCTGCCCCGGTGACATTCAGGGTCTCCTGCAGCTGAAGCTGGGGTGCAGCTCGAAAGCAGCCGCCTCCCTCTGCGGGGTGTTTTAGGGACACATCCACGAATGTGGCTGCAAAGCTCAGCATTTCCTCATTCTTGTTTGGAAATCGTCCCAGGGCAGGAGGAAATGCAGCCCTGGGTGTGCAGACCTTTCCCGGAGGCGTTGCAACACTGAGCCAGCTCCGTGCCGGGGAGGCGGCAGCGGCCGCGCCGGATCCTTGGCTCCCTGCTCCCATCTCCATCATCTCCATCTCCATCTATCTCCATCTCCATTCCCCTGGGGAGCTGGAGCCCGCGGGACCGGCCTCAGGGCTGGAGAAGCAGCGGCTGGTGCTGAGCAGGAAGCACGGAGATGGATCTGCATCCCTCGGGAAGGATTGCAAACCCCACCCGAGGAGAGGGGAGCTGCATCCCTCGGAGCACCCGTGTGTTCATTGTGACACGAGGGCTCAGCCAAGACCCTGCACCTTCCTGACTCAGCTGCGTGGGGGAGAGGCTCATTTTGTTCCCAGAGAAAGCTCTGCCTTCCCTCCTGGATGTGCCCACCTGTGCACAAGCACCCCGGAGCTTGAGTGGGCTCAAACCCAGGGAGAAATGAAACAAAATCCAGGCTGTGTTAACCTGGATAGGGAAGCAGAGCTCCTCTGTGAACAGCTGGAATCACTAAACACCAAAACCCCCAAAAAGAGAAGACAGGACAAACACCAATAATCCCTCACCTGGTCAGAGCCCACCTGCCCCAGGAGGGCAAACACGGTGGGTTTGTGGTGTTTGGGGGCAGCAGGGACAGCAGCAGCCTGTGGAATCACACAGTTCCTAAAGGTGGAAAAGTCATCGAGTCCAGCTGTTAGCCCAGCACTGCCAAGGCCACCACTACACCAGGTCCCCAAGTGCCGCGGTACCATCCCTGCCCAAACACCAGCCCCGAGGCAGCTCGCCAAATATACAAAATTATTTCATACCAAAAAGGATCTTAATAAGCAGGAAAACGTGTTCCTGCTGTCTAAGATTGGGCACCTGCTTAGTCAGTTTTTCCTGGAATCAAGCCTTACCTCACCACAGCCCAATTCCAGCCATTTCTATAGCAACAACCCTGTTACACCAATAACAGCCAGCACAATTCACACCTGGATCCTCGAGGCTCTGGAATAACATTTCACCCCAAACAAGCCCACGCTCTGCAATCAGTGGCTCCTGCCTGCTCCACTCCACACCAGGTACAGTAAATATTAACTGAGGCTCCCGACTCAGGGAATCAGTGACTGGCCCAAGGTCGGGCAGGCAGCAGAGCTGAAGGCAGGAAAGGGAGCAGGGGTGTCCTTGGAGAAGTAAAAGGTCACAGATTCAATCTCCAGAGGACTTTGTGAGCTGCAGCAGAGGAGTTCCTCCACACACAGGACAGCAGGGACAGAAGCTGATTGTGCTTTGCTGCTACAGCCCGGACCCAGCATCACCTCTGGTGCCATCTGGGATGTCATCCCAAAGTGCCCACAGGGATGCAGGATGCAGCAGGGCTGCTCCCCTTCCCAGTGTCTTTTTTGGGGGGGTGATGGATCAGTCTAGAGACCCATCCTAGGAAGACCTGGCCAAGCCCTAAATACTTCCAGTTTTTATCTCTCTGATTTCGAGGCTTTATCAGCCCGAGCATTTTCCAGCCTTGCCAAAATATATCAAAGATATTTTTTGCTTTGATAGGGTAGTAATAAAGCAGTAGGAAATTTTTCAGATTGAAAATGTTCAGTAGCATAACATGTTTTACTACAAAGGGGTTAAACATGGACTGATTTACCTCCTGGGGTGGCTTTTTACACTTTCCCCTGATGCTGCAGCAGGGCAGGGGGCTGGGCCTTGGCTGTCAGATCCCTCCCCACACTCGCCCAAGAAGGATCATCCCTGGGCACAAAGCAGGGATTTTGGGATGAAGAGTTTGGGTTTTACTCTAAATCATCCTCCAGGATTCAGGACACTGCTCAGAAGTGAAGGAGTTTCTCCCTGGTTGTTAAACCCCCAGAGCACCTCCCAGAGCACGGATTCCCCTGGGAGAACATTCCCTCTCCCCAGCTTCGCTGTGAACAACCCGGGCTGGTTTTTGTCCTGCCAAACAGTTTGGTGGGGAGATTAGAGGGAAGGCAAAGAGCAGGATGGGCAGGAGGAGCCCGGCACAAACACCATAAAGGGATTAGAGGGGCTGGGGGCAGAGCAGGTGGGAATTTTCCTGCATGCACTGCACTGGAGGAGAGCTTTTTCCAGCTGAGGAAACCAGGGGGATGCTGTGGGGGAAGGTGGGTGGCCCAGCAGGGCTGCAGGAACGGGCTGGGAATGTGCAGGGGTGTGGCAGGAGGTGGCCAAGGTGGGTCAGAGCCACACTGAGGAGTTCAGCAGAGACCACCCAGTGCACAGGGGGGCTGTGCTGGCATTCCCTGTCCCCACTTTTACACTTTTCCTGCAAAACAGCTGGACTGACAGTTTTCTTTTACAATTAAAACACGTTTAGGCAACAGCAAATCTCCTTAGATTGCACCCAAACTGCTTTGCCTTCATTCAAATAGCACTGCCATACTTTTTTCTGTGCACACACATATAAATACACCTCTATATGACATATAAATACATATATATATGCACATATATATATGATATAATGTTTGTGTATGTATGTATATGTATGATATAATTGTTTATATCATACTTTTATACGCCTGGGGAATCCACCTGGGAAGTCCCAACCCAAGCAGCACTCGGTGGCCCCCAAAGCACCCAGCAGCAAGCCTGTAAAGCTGAAATCTTTCCACCCAGACGGGATCCCCTGCAGGGATGAGGAGCCCTCATCCTCTCCAGGGATTCCCTTGCAGCCTCACAGGTCTGTGGGAGCTGCCAGGGCAATCCAGGCTCCCTCACAGCACACAGCTGCATTGGGGTCTGGTTGCAGAAAGCTCTTATAAATAATTTTCACAGAATCACAGAAACAGTGAAGTTGGAAAAGACTCTGAGCCTCCTTTTCTCCAGGCTGAACAACATTTTGGAGGTTATTTTCAGCTTCAGGGGGGTGTGTACAATTGTTAGGGTAAGGT